GGAAGGTTTAGAGCTTTGGACAAAAGGAAGAAAAAGACTTTGGTTTTTACTTGTCAAAAAGGTAACCTCAAAACCTTTTTCTTAAAAACGTCATTTCACTATGTATAAATGTATGTAAATAAATATGATAATACTCTATATCGTTTCTAAATTTTTAATTACTATTTCATATTCTTTACTTGTTAAGTTAAATTATTTTAGTTGTTGAGTCAATTCTTCTGAATAATTACCAGAATAATTATCATCTATTTCTATAATAATTTCATGGTAATTTTTTTGTTCTACTAATGTAACTTTGTTTAATTTTATTATTAGTGTGCTTTAGTAATTTTTACCGATTCAATTTTATTCTAATTATTACTACCCTAATCTGGATATTCTAAAATTTTAAATATTTTTCATAATATTTCTATTATATTTGATACTAATTATTGTCTTTTTCAACTATTTGGTTTTCAAATTCTTCTATCATTTTGTCTAACTAGTATTTGCACCGGTGTGATGCACGACCATAATAATAATAATAATAATAATAATAATAATAATAATAATAATAATAATAATAATAATAATAATAATAATAATAATAATACTAATACTAATAATAATAATAATAATAATAATAATATTTCTATATAATAAATCCATATCATCTTAGCCAATCACAAAGTAGCATTTTCTATAAGAAAAAAAAAAACTTACTAATAAATAGACTGTTTTCTAGAATATTCTTTCATAAGTAGTGGATAACTGACAAATCTCTATCTCTATTTATCTATATATTCTCAATTTATCAAAAAAAAAAATGCGTTCACATTAGGCGGGAAATGCTACTTTGTGATTGGCCAAGATGATATATGGCTTTATTATATAGAATAATAATAATAATAATAATAATAATAATAATAAAAGACTCATTGAAAACTGAAAAGACTCTTTGAAAATAACATCTGGTCATTATTTTTTCCTTGGAGATATAAAAAACTTATTAATATATAGACTGTTTTCTAGAATATTCTTTCCTTAGTAGAGGATAACTTTCAAATCTCTATCTCTATTTATCTATATATATTCTCTATTTATCAAAAAAAAAAAATGCGTTCACACTAGGCGGGAAAATGCTACTTTGTGATTGGCCAAGATGATATGGCTTTATTGTATATATATATATATATATATATATATATATATACAATAAAGCCATATCATCTTGGCCAATCACAAAGTAGCATTTTCCCGCCTAGTGTGAACGCATTTTAAATGGCTAATATATAAAAAACTTATTAATATATAGACTGTTTTCTAGAATATTCTTTCCTTAGTATAGGATAACTTTCAAATCTCTATCTCTATTTATCTATATATATTCTATATTTATCAAAAAAAAATGCGTTCACACTAGGCGGGAAAATGCTACTTTGTGATTGGCCAAGATGATATGGCTTTATTATATATATATATATATATATATATATATATATATATATATATATATATATATATATATATATATATATATATACTAGTTTTTTACGCGCATTGCGCGATTGAGATAATGCCCAATGTTCTTTTTAAATAAGTACTTTAAAGTATGTCAATGCAATATTATATTGGAATTGTTGTTCATGCATAGATAATTGAATGTTGAATTTGTGTATTTTAATTGGTAATTCTAAGTTTATAAATGCAAGATAATATAATCAAGATTTATTATAATTGTAAATAAAATAATTGTATGGGTATGGTTGAAACCAAATACGGGACATAAGGGAGAGCAAATAAAAATTAAAGCATAAAATATTAAATATATACTAATATTGTTTGAGGAGATTTCGGCAGTTGGATTTGTGGTTAGAGTTCTATTAAGACTTTAATATTAAAATTAGATGAGAACTCAATGAATTGTATTGAATGATTTGATTACAAATGTGCCGATTACAGGTATATATAAAGAGAGAGTCCTCAGGAAGGAAGACTGTGATAGGGAATCATTATCTAACTCAAATACATAGAGAACTGAATGAAATGTATTGAATGATTTTATTACAAATAGGGGTGTCAAAGTGGGCCGAAGCCCGCGGGTTAGCCCGCACCCGCCCCGCAATGGGGCGGGTTAGGGCCGCAAGAAATTAGGCTCGCGAAAATGCGGGCCTAACGGGCATGGTCCGCAGAGGGCCAGAGCCCGCGCGGCTTGCTGGTCGACCCGCGGGCCAGGTCATATTTAAAAAGTAAATAAATATATTATATATATAATATCTTTTTTTTAAAAAAAAATCAAATATATATAATATCTTAATTCTTAGGCAATGTGTAGATCTAACTATCTAAGAGTACGCAGAAGGGGAGAAATCCAATAATTCAATAATCCTTCGCCAATTCTTAATTCAATAATTCCTAGAGTACGTAGTTCTTCGGTTCTCCCGTCTCCATCCGCCTCCAACTCTATCAAATAATTACTAAAACTAAATCATCAATTCATACATATTTATGAATTACTAAATCGCCTCCAAGTCTAGCAAACATACATATTTATATATGTATTATACACAGACGGGAATTGTAGAGAAAAAATCTGAAGCCGAGAGAGAAATCGAGTGTGCTGTTGAACCTGTGATTTGATCACCCTTCTACAGTTCTGCTGAACGCGCGGTATCGATCCGGGAGATTTGGGCGAAGTTTATGGATTTTATGGAAGTTTCCAGTGCCATATTTCAAGCGGTTTTAACATGTTTATATACTATTTAATATATTTTTTTTTAAATTTAAGTAATGGCCCGCGGGCCAGCCCGCGAGACCCGCAAACCCGCATGGGGCGGGCTTGAGTTGTATAGTTCCAAGCCCGCGGGCTTCGCGGGCCGGCCCGCCAAAGCCCAACAAATAAAAAGTCCGCGGTGGGGCGGGCCTAATGAGGCGGGCCGGCCCGTATTGACACCCCTAATTACAAATGTGCTGATTACAAGTATATATAAAGAGAGAGTCTCAAGGAAACTGGGATAGAGAATCATAATTTAACTCAAATACATAGGTATATATGCGATGTATATAGGTATATGATATTTAGGATATTTAGACAGATCAAATCTATCAACAAAGCCTCCAACTCATAATCTAATAGTGCTCTTGTTTTACCCGCTAGGCAGCTCAACTGGTCATAGAGGTGAAACTTTGAAAGAATGACCAGGGATCGAGTCTCACCAGCGGCAGTGTGGGAGCAACCTCTCAAAGTGAATACTCTGTCGGGTTGGGGTTCTTCCTTTTGGAAGAATACTGTTCTTGTTTTGGCAAAATATCCACAGTCACGATTTTTTTCTGCTTGTTCAGATCGGTCCGATATTACAGAACTTTAATTTATCTTGCAAGATAGACCATGTTCTCTTGCCCATTTATTCACAAATTATAGTAAGTGATTGTTGGTGCCTCATTTACATTTCATAATAAAGCAGAATCTAGCCACAAAATTTTCCTTCCAAAGTGTTAATACATTTTGATAGAAACAAGATTAGCAAGTATGAATGCATTAATTGTGTGGGTAGATGTATTTATACATATATTCTTTGAAGTTATTATGTGTATTTATATTTTATAAATTATATTTTATTATTGTAGCTCTATCTCTATTTTTATCTCTATATGTATTAAAGCATTATGAAAATATATCTACATAAAAAATATATCTTCGGTATAAATAATTTCTATAACTGAGTGGCTAGACAACGAGCTAATTAGCTCAATTAATACAAATCCTAAACGCTGATATATAAAATATCTAAAGTTACAGCATCGAATGTATATATATCTACACGTTAGCTATTAATTGGGCAATTATTTGCTTGAAGTCAAACAATGATAACATCAGAAAACATAATCGGTGCAACTCAATTCTTCAATTATATTAGGAATAAGGTTCAAATTGGCCACTGAACGTAACCTGAAAATGCAATTAGGCCACTGAACGAAAAAAAGTGCAATTAGGCCATTGAACACTCAAAAACTGTGCAATTAGGCCACTGAACTCTCCAAACGTATGCAATTTTACCGGATAGCAGGTTACCATCAATTTTAGTAGGTTACCTGCTTACGTGACAGCTTAGTTGGCATTTTTAATAATTTTTAAATAATTTTTAATAATTAATTTTAATAATAAATTTTATAAAAAATTAAATAAAAAATAAAATAAAGTCGTTTTTATTTAAAAAAAAATTTTTTAATAAAAAGTTATTATTAAAATTTATTAAAAATTAATTAAAATTTATTAAAAATGCCAACTCAGCTGCCACGTAAGCAGATAACCTGCTAAAATTGAGGGTAACCTGCTATCGGGTGAAATTGCACATTTTTGGAGTGTTCAGTGGCCTAATTGCACTTTTTTTCGTTCAGTGGCCTAATTGCATTTTCAGGTTACGTTCAGTGGCCAATTTGAACCTTATTCCATTATATTATATAATATTCGATGTTATAATTTATACAATTGTATATCGATATAAATATTTTTTAAATATTATAACAAATTCATCCCGTGCAACGCAGGGACGAAAATACTAGTAAAAATATAAAGCGATATCTGCATGTTCAATCACTTGTACAATTTAAAAAAATTAAAATTATGTAATATGTTTTCCTATTTTAGGAATAAAGTAATTGAAATTCCCTTAAATTATAGACTGGAATATAATGCGCATTTATTTTTAAAACAAACATTTTAAGCAAACAAATTACTTTCAATCTTTATTTATCTCCAAATATAGTAACAGATATAACTAATAAATCATGTAATTTATACTGTGGATATATGATAAATTCGTAAATGCATAATAAAATTAAAAGGGAAGTAAGTCCTATTATATAGTATATAATATAATATTTAATATGAAATTTTAACCAAAAAAAGAAAAAAAATTAGAGCAGTTTTCGAATTTCAACTTTGCTAATCCTACTATAAATTAGGTACGCTTATGCTTCTAGCTTTCAGTATCATATCATTTCTGTCTCGATATCCGGCGATGGCGACAGTAAACTACCGACCACCCAGGATCAGATTTTCGTTTGAGTCGACGTTGCGTTCAGGGAGGGATACGAGAACGATGATAATCCTAGAAATTGTTTTGAAACACAAAGGCACGATTTTCTTGAGAGATCGGCGGCGGGGTGAGATTGTTGATTCCTATGAGAGAAACACCGATTCGAGCGTTTCTTTTCCTCTTCTCTTGGATTCTCGTGTTGGGTTGTCCTATTTCAACATCGGGGCTTTTAGGGCCCAAGTTTTTGAGCGGATGCCGGGATTGGCTCCCTCCATAGCCAGCGAGCTTTCCCGACAAATGTTCATGTACGCGCGACGAGTTTCACTTGCCCGTCTGGCCCTCAATGACGACAACGGTATACTGGTGGTCACGGCTCGCGTGGAGATTGACGAGGAGGAGGAGGAGGGTGAGTCGTCGAACCCGCCAAGGGGTTTGAGTTTGGGTGAGATTAACGGGTTGAAGCAAGAAGAGTTTAAGAGTAGCGGTGCAGAAGAGGAATCATCATCCTGTTCCATTTGTTGGGAAGAGTTTTCGGTGGGAGTGAATATTACGCCATTGCCATGTTCTCACACCTTTCACCATACCTGCATTGCTACATGGTTTGAGAAACAGGCAACCTGCCCGCTTTGCCGATTCCACATCACACAACCATGCTCATCTTGATCAATCATAGCTCAGAATGGGAAGGTTTACAGCATGGGATACAAAAATGGGAATGAAGGTTTGGGGCTTTGGACAATTCAAAAGCTCTCAGGAAAAGGGGCTTTGGACAATTCAAAGATGTGTAAGTTCTGTACTGTGGTTTGTATACAGTCAATGATTCACCAATCAACAATGATTTGTTAATTATTAAAATTTAGTATTAGTAATGGGACAATGTTTGGTCAATTATGATAAAATATATAGTTACTTTTACATGTAAAATCATAATGATTTGCACTATGGTTATTAATATAATTGAGTGTTTTTAATAACATTATTAATTTAATTTGTAATTTCCTCTTACAAAAAATTTAAATGACCATATATTGAAATTTAAAATCATATAAGAATATCTGATCTATCAATTTCTATCCCAAAATGGAGATTAATTAATACAATGACATCTTTTATCTTTTATATTGAATAATACAATATTATCATATATAGCTCGGGAAGGTTTACAATGTAGTATACAAAAAATGGGAAGGTTTAGAGCTTTGGACAAAAGGAAGAAAAAGACTTTGGTTTTTTACTTGTTAAAAAAGGTAACCCCAAAACCTTTTTTTCTAAAAACGTCATTTCAGTGTGTATAAACTTAAGTAAATAAATATGATAACACTCTATATTGTTTTTCTAAATTTTTAATTACTATTTCATATTCCTTACTTGTTAAGTAAATTCTTTTAGTTGTTGAGTCAATTCTTCTGAATAATTATCAGAATAATTATCATCTATTTCTATAATAGTATTGTGGTAATTTTTTTGTTCTACCAATGTAGCTTTGTTTAATTTTATTAGTGTGCTTTAATAATTTTTACAGATTCAATTTTATTCTAATTATTACTACCATAATCTGGATATTCTAAATTTTTAAACATTTTTCGTAATATTTCTATTATATTTGATACTAATTATTGTCTTTTTTCAACTATTTGGTTTTCAAATTCTTCTATCATTTTGTCTTTTATATATATATATATATATATATATATATATATATATATATATATATATATATATATATATATACACACACACACGAATATATATATAAAACGGACCCAAAGGTTATATATGCATATATATCTACGAAAAAGATATACCAATATATATCAACAAAAAATTGGAACTTATAATCCTCAGATTATAATTCCAATCCAACAAGAAAGTAGAAAGGATTTTTGCTTAGAGCATAATCCAAAACAAGAAAGAAGGAGGGGAAGAAAGATTGTAAGTACGAGTTAGGCGAAGTGTTTTTTTCTTTAAAACCTTATTTGTCACCTCCCAAAAGTGCTAGGAATGTTGTGGCCTATGCTTCCCAGGATAAAACGTACTACGGTTCGACGTTTGAGCACCCAAACGAACGAACCCGGCGAACTAGAGCACTGACAGAACACAATCGGCAAGAACGGAGTAGGAGCAGAACTATGTGTGTGTTGTGTCTCTTTGTTCGTAGTTCTTCACTACTTCACTGTGTAAAAAATATGCTGTCCCACTCCCTTCTTATATAGGAGGTGAAGAATTAATAGCATTCAATTTTGGCATTTAATGCACGATTTGTAACACCTGAAACAGCTACCATTAATTAAGATTTAATTCAAAAATTAAAACTGGAATTAATCTTGTATGAATAAAGACAATAATTAGTATCAAATAGTGGGGCAAATCCTCTTCCTAAATCAATGTGGGACAAAAGCTCACTTTTTCCCTTCATATTTCCAACTCGATGGGTCTACTTTGAGAATCAATATTTCATTCACCCATTATCCGTTTTGAGCGTACAATATATCAATCTCTTCGTCTCACTACGAAGAACCCGGATCCACTTTGACCCGACCCAAATCAGAAGTAGACCCCACTGATAATTGTACCACAAAATAGCCACTTAATATGGCATTTTAATGCCATTTTCCAACATATATATATATATATATATATATATATATATATATATATATATATATATATATATATATAGGGATGCACTCATGTGCGAATAAGTGCCCAGGAGCGAATATGAGAATGAATCAGCGCGCGACACTTGTCCTATCCAAGTAAAAAGTGTAGGTAAAATCACTTACAAGTGCACCTATTTTCACCTATAAGTGAATGTATTTTTAAAACAAACATTTTAAGCAAAAAAATTACTTTCAATCATTATATTATTTACCTCCAAATATAGTAACAGATATAACTAATAAATCATGTAATTTATACTGAGGATATAAATATGATAAATTCGTAAATGCATAATAATAACATTAAAAGCGAAGTATGTCCTATTATATAGTATATAATATACCCGCGCTATGCACGGGAAAAAATTATGTTATTATAAATATAAATAAAAAATAGAAAAATTAAAATATTTTAAATTATTTAACATAATAATATTTTTAAGCTTTCAATGGTCAAGTATTTATTATTTTTATAGAATACAAAATTACAATTACAATTTAAATTAAAATTATAATTTTGTATGATTAATATAATCTCTAATTATGTGCATATTCAAATAAACTTATAGAGAGAATTTACATAATTACATTGATTTATTCTTAATTGTATTTCATCTATATTATAATTTTCACAATACGAATAATAACTAAGATAATTACATTTGGAAAACAAATTTCAAATTTTGTATGTGTAAATTTAAACTCTAATTGAACACATTTTTTATATGATTATATAATATATAGCTATTTTATTTTTCAAAAGTATATTTTTTATATGATTATATAATATATAGCTATTTTATTTTTTAAATGTTGTGTTTTTTTTTTTTAATAATAAAAGATATTGTGGCATTAATTATAACATTAATTATTTCCCAAACCATATAAATAAATATAAAAAAAATAGAAAAAATAAATATTTTAAAATTATTTAATATAATAATATTTTTGAGCTTCCATTTGTCAAGTATTTATTATTTTTATAGAATACAAAATTACAATTAAAATTAAAATTAAAATTAAAATTAAAATTAAAATTAAAATTAAAATTAAAATTAAAATTAAAATTTTGTATATGATTAATATAATCTCTAATTATGTACATATTCAAATAAACTTATAGAGATAATTTACATAATTACATTGATTTATTCTTAATTGTATTTCATCTATATTATAATTTTTCACAATACAAATAATAACTAAGATAATTACATTTGGAAAGCAAATTTCAAATTTTGTGTGTAAATTTAAACTCTAATTGAACACATTTTTTATATGATTATATAATATATAGCTATTTTATTTTTCAAAAGTATATTTTTCATATGATTATATAATATATAGCTATTTTATTTTTAAATATTGTGTTTTTTTTTTAATAATAAAGGATGTTGTGGCATTAATTGTAACATTAATTATTTCCCAAACCATATAGCTTTATTATATAAATAAAGGATAAAGGATAATAATATTTAATAAGAAATTTTAACCAAAAGAAAAAAAGAAAAAAAAATTAGAGCGGTTTTCAAATTTCAACTTTGCTCATCCTACTATAAATTAGGTACGCTTATGCTTCTAGCCTTAGTATCATTTCTGTCTTCAATTCTCTCCGGCGATGGCGACAGTAAACTTCCGCCCACCCTCGATCACATTTTCGTTTGAGTCGAGCTTGCGTCCAGGGAGGGATACAAGAACGATGATAATAGAAATTGTTTTGAAACACAAACACACGGTTTTCTTGAGAGATTCGCTGCGGGGTGAGATTGTTGATTCCTATGAGAGAAACACGGATTCAAGCGTTTCTTTTGATTTGCCCTTGGATTCTGTTGTTGGGTTGTCCTTTTTTCACTTCAGGCCTTTCAGGGCCCACGTTTTTGAGCAGATGCCGGGATTGGCTCCCTCCATAGCCAGCGAGCTTTCCCGACAAATGTTCCAGTACGCGCGACGAGTTTCACTTGTCCGTCTGGGCCTCAATGACGACAACGGTATACTGGTGGTCATGGCTCGCGTGGAGATTGACGAGGAGGAGGAGAGTGATGGGTCGTCGTCGTCCTCGAACCCGCCAAGGGGTTTGAGTTTGGATGAGATTAACGGGTTGAAGCAAGAAGCGTTCAAGAGTAGTGGTGCAGAAGAGGAATCACCATCCTGTTCCATTTGCTGGGAAGAGTTTTCGGTGGGAGTAAATATTACGCCATTGCCATGTTCTCACACCTTTCACCATAGCTGCATTGTTACCTGGCTTGAGAAACAGGCAACCTGCCCGCTTTGCCGATTCCATATCACATAACCATAGCTCAGAATAGGAAGGTTTTTACTTGTCAAAAACGACCGAGAATTTCAAAGATGTATAAGTTCTGTACTGTGGTTTGTCTACAGTCAACGATTCACCAATCAAGGTTAATTATCAAAATTTAGAATTAAATGGGACAATGTTTGGTCAATTATGATAAAATTAATAGTTACTTTTACATGTAAAATCATAAAGATTTGTACTATGGTTTATTAATATAATTGAGTGTTTTTTAATAACATTATTAATTTAATTTGTAATTTCCTCCCAAGAATATAATTGATGAAGTGAATTTTGTAATTGGTGTGTAGGCCAGAATTTTAATGACCATATATTGAAATTTAAAATCATATAAGAATATCAGATCTATATATCAATTTCTATCCCAAAATGGAGATGAATACAATGATTTTATTCTAATTATTACCCTAATCTGGCCGGATATTCTAAATTTTTAAATATTTTCGTAATATTTCTATTATATTTGATACTAATTATTGTCTTTTTTCAACTATTTGGTACGTTTTCAAATTCTTTTATCATTTTGTCTAACATATATATATATATATATATATATATATATATATATATATATATATATATTATTGTTGTTGTTGTTTACATTTATTATAATGGTAATTTTTTCCTGTATTATTTTCACACATTATGCATTTAACTCTATGATAATCGTATCACCTATCCGGCCTTTT